GCTTGGCTTTATTCAGGCTCCAGGTGCGTGGACACATGTCTTAACTTAATCTTGCCCAGTGCAACTCCCTTCCTCAGAGCGTGGGGCTGGGACGGGTCTCTTGAACAGGGAAATGTGTACCCTTGGGAACTGTCGGTAGCCCTATTCTCCAGTTTGGCCTGTGAAAGGGAGAAAATGAATCTGCATTATGAAGCATGAAGTTTAGATAAAAGAGTCAATGACCCAGATGGAAATGCAGGAGGACATTCTGAATTTCCTACAGAGTTCCCTGCCCATGAGTCCTGCCGTCCCACCGCATCCCTACCTTTGGAGTTCATAATTAATGCCCCTTTGGTTAAGAAAGCCGGACTGGCTTCTGTTACCTATAATCAAAAAAGCTCTAACGGGTATGGTTACTATGTAGAAATCATTATATTTTTCATGTGCAAATGAGTGAGAAACTAGTGGTCTCCCAACAAGGAAGGCAAAACACATGTGGAGGAAGCAATCAGGAGGCCAGAAATCTGAGTTCAAATCTTCCTCTTAGAATCCCACAACCACATAGAATCATAGACTATTGACATTAGTTCTTACGTAACTCATTCCCACTGCCCACCAGCTAGATGATACTGGCCAGTTTTTAACTCCTGTGGGTTTAACTATAAAATGGCCATAAAGATTCTGTGAAGGGAACTGAGCCATTCATTCTGTTGAGGCTTCTTCTAACATTAAAACCCTTACTTAGACAGCACTTAAGATTACACAAAGGAGTTTCTCCTGGCATTATTCTTGAAGCCACATTTTGCACATCACATGGTTAGAAAAGCCAACCATAAGAAGCATATGCCAGATGTTCATATGAATGATAGGTAAAACTGAAATTTTTCTAAGTTAAATGAAACAAATGCCGATTTTTGCCTAACTTCTCTTCTTTTTGCCTAGGACATTTTGGCTTTGCTTAAAAGCAAATAACCTTAGAACTGAACATACTCAACTCCCCTATTTATCTGAACATAATTTAGCAAATATTTATTGAGCACCAACTAAATGCCTGATGCTCTGCTAACTGTTACATCCTTTGAGAAGAAAAGATAACCCGGTCTCTGGGACCTCAGCAGAGTTGGAGAGGCGGGTAAGGAGACCCATTAGCACATCGTGATCTAATTGGTACTGGATGGAGGTGTGTTCATGGACAAAATGGGAGTGAGTGCTGAGCAGGCCTGGGGTGTGATAGGAGATGTCATGGAAAAAGTGATGAATTCAGCCAAAGGCACAACCACCTGAAGTGGAACAGGGTAAGGAGGAACAGGGCGTTGGTGGCAGTGGGACAGCCTCTGTGACGGTGGGACAGCATACCCCAAACCCAAAACCCAGAATGTGGGTGGGGAACCAGTACCTGGTGCTAAGGGACCTGCAGTTCTGTGGTGAAGTCAAAACCACCCTTTCCAAAAGCATTTGTGTTTGAGGCTGATTCCAGAGGGAATGAGGGGGATAAAAGTGAGCTATTAATATAATTGTGAGAACTCCAGTATTTAGAAATCAGTCATAAGAAATAAGAAAGGGATCACATATATATATTGCAGCGTTGGAATCCCAGAGAAGGAGATAGAGTGAATAATAAATGGTGTAGAGATACCTTTCCTAGAATAGTGAGCTAATGAAAATAAGAAGTAATAATAGATAACATTTATGGAGTGATTGTTAAATCCAGGTGCTTCATACTTTACACACGTTGACTCACTTCACATATCACAACTCCGTGCTGTAGGTTCCATTGTTATTCTGGCTCAGGAGACCCTGCCCCTCCCATGCCTATTCCCTTTCCTGTACTTATCACCAACTAATACACAGTGTATTTTATTTACTTAGTATTATTTTTCATCTATATCTTTCCTTTTTATAGAACAGACTCCCCTTAACAGCAAGGATTTTTGTTAACTTTGTTTATTGCTGTATTTTCAAAACTTAGACAACAGAGTAGGAACCCAATAAATACTGTTGAAAAAAAATGAGAGAAACTGAGGTACAGAATAGTTCATCACTTGTCCCACACCAAACAACCAGGCAGTGGCAGACCAGGAATCAGTGGTGTGAATGGCTAAGAGAGCTTTTCCATGGGACTGTGGCTCTCAGAGAGGCATAATAGAATTGAGGGCATCAGCCTGGTAAGAAGAGGCTTAAAAGTTTATTAATTCACTTATTTATCCATTCAACTCTTCAGCGAATATTTACGGAGGACCTACTATGCACCAGGCATTGTTCCAGGCCCTGGGGAAACAATGGTGGACAAGACAGAAAGGTTTCTACCCTCAGAGGGGAGGAGAGGGAGACAGATGATATAAAAGGAAACAAGCAAACCACAGAATAATTTCTGGGGTGCTACTAGAACAGGGTGACATGTGGCCAGTAACTGAGGGAGGGGGTAGAACATCGTTAGACAGGGATCTGTGAGCAGACTCCTTCAGCATGAAGTGCTGGAAGAAGATAAGACTCAAAACAAGGCAGACAGGGAGGCAAAGGTGCGGGAGGGTCAAGGTGGGGGCTGGAGAATGGAATGAAACCTGGATGGAAGGTGGAGATGGCAGCTGGGCACAGGAAATGGAGAGTACACAGCCAGGAGAAAGGCCAGAGTCATCGGCTGGGCAAAGTCTGGCTGGGAGCACAGCCAAGTGGTTAAAGAACTGTCCAGAAAAGCATATTTGCTCTTAAGCCAGGAGCCCAAATCAGAAAAGACACTGCTTTAGGTTCTAGCTGAGGGTAGCCACAGAGTGCTGTACAGATGACAGCAGCAGTGGAGAGGGGCTCCATGTTACAAGAGAATTGTGTCAGCTCAAACCTGAAAGTACCTTACACTGAATTCCACTGTGTGCCCCACATTCTCACATGCACTGTGTCTGGCTGGAGGTCTGGAGCCTATAGGGTGAGGTGGCCTCAGAGAGCAGACAAGATAAATGATCTCATCTGGGTTGCAGACCAGGTCAGTGGTCCCCAAACCTGAGCACACAAAAGGCTCATTTGGAGTGTTTGTAAAAAATGCAGAAGACTGGGCTCCACCCCCACAAAAATCCCTTTTCATTATGTGGCAGATGGGACCAGGAATCTGCATTTGTGATACAGGTGGTCTCCAGACAGGCCACACCTTGAGAAAGGTGGAAGCAGATCCACTAAGGAGCTTCAGGGAGTCTGTGAACCCCAAGAAATGAAATGAAAAATGTGTGTGTTTGCATATATGCACATTTCCTGGGCAGAGAGTCATTATAAGACTCTCAAAAACTCCAGAACCACTGATCTAGTCCTGTACCTTGTCTTAGAGAGTAGGAAACAGTCCCAGGAATGTGAGGGACTCACCTGATCCACAAAAGTGAGAGACAGCAGAGCTGGGGGGTTGCTTCAGATTTTCTTTTCCAATTTCTTCCTTTCCACTCTCTTTGCCCTGCCCTGCTGACTAGGAGTAGTGGAGAGTGGAAGAAGGGGATTAAGCACTTGGGGGCAAGTCCTCAAAGGATGTCTCTTCCCTATTTTAGCCACAGGCTGGGTAGATAGCACCCTGGAGAGGCGGGATGATGCTACCTCCACAAAATACCTTGTCACTCACTTCACTCCCACCACGCCCTGCCCCATCCCAGCCCCAGTAAGACTGGAAGCCAGGACAGAGGGCACGTGCACCCAGGTGTTGGACGTAATGGTAGTGATGCAGTGATTGTCCTTGAGACCAGCCTCTATACCTGAGCAGGTGGGTGGCTCTAGGCTTCCCTGCCACCACTCAGGTTTCCATCCATCTACTTCCTCAGGCCAGCCTGGATCATGGCCTCAACCCTATTAGAATGTTCTTTGCAGTCTGGATTCCCCATCACTGAACCCAGCGGGCCTCATCAAATTTGGTATGAGTCCTGCCCTCCAGTTTTGGCCCAGATCCTTCAGACTCTGGCCTCAGCCTGAGATTCCGGATTTACCAGCCCTGCACACCTTCCTCTGAACTAACAACTCCCTATCTTGGCCTTCTGCTTCTTTTCTGCAATTGCTATTCTGTCCTGGTGACAAAGCCCCTCCAGTCCTGGCCCCACCCGTCCACCCTGCCCTCTCCCCACCCAGCTGGCTGGTGCAACCTGTGATTCAAAGGCTAAACTTATTCAGAGCCTGACCCCTCCTTGCCAGATAACCTGAGAAAGTTCGCCTAGCACACTCTGCCTTCGCGTGGGAGCTTGCAGCCTTACAGCTCAGGACCTGGCTGGGTTCAGCCCTGTGCCCTGATCAGGGACCACAACTCTCCCTGTCATTTCAGCTTCTCTCAGTCTTGTTTTCCCACTCTGCTTGATGAGCCCCTTTCTCTTCTGTCCCTTTCTTTCCTTTTTTTTCTTCCCCCCCTGCTTTGGGCCTCCATTGGCCCTTTCCAGCATCACTTTGCCTGACAGCCATACTCAGGAATAAAAAGATGCCTGGGCCCTTTGTGTTGACTAACGCCACCTTTGTTTTGGAGGCAGATGCCCAAGAAGGCTGTCCAGTAGGCTCGGTGAAGCATGCCGTTGGCAGAGGAAAGGAGGCTGCTCTGTAATTTTCCCAGTGGCCTCTTCAGATTTGTTGGTGATGGGTCAGACTCCTTGCTTTTAACAAAGAAAAGAGCTCAGAGCTCAGACCCGCCCTGGGTCTCAAATTAAAGCAGTGCAGAGGTAGGCCTGAACCCAGCGCTGTCTCTGTGGGGCAGGATTTCAGCCTGCTGTCTTTCAAAGCCTCAGCTGGGACAGTTGGCCCTTACTGGAAGGTTCTGTTCGACTTTCCTGGCAATTCTTTATTCCTGTGAAGAAGTTGCACAGTGAATTCCTTGTTAAGGAATAATCATTTTATTCTCTCTTGCTTATGACTGGCCGTTTTCAGGTCCTGCCCCTGGTTTCACTTGTCCCCAGGACTTCATTTGAGGGGCGGGACATTCCTCCTACCTCCGCCCACCTCAGCCAGAGCCTGCAATCAGGACCAATGAAAGCAGAGCACCTCATCCACTCTGGGACTAAGAACACAGAGTATTTAAGAAAGAGGTTTCAGGAATGGGCTGGGAATTGCTTTTGCTTTCTCTGCCGACCAGCACACTCTCATCTGATCTGGGTCAGCACTGAGCTGCCGAGGGAAGGGGAAAAACCTCCCAGACTTCCTGACACCACCATGTGCTATGGCAAATGCGCTCGATGCATCGGACATTGGCTGGTGTGGCTCGCCGTTCTCTGCATTGTAGCTAATATTTTGCTTTACTTTCCCAATGGGGAAACTAGGTATGCTTCTGAAAACCATCTCAGCCGCTTCGTCTGGTTCTTTTCTGGAATTGTAGGAGGAGGCTTGCTGGTAAGTTGTTTGGAATTATTACAAGCCTAAAAAATTGTGAACATGATGTTTTCATGGGAAGTTTGCCATTACCATATTGCCAAATCCAGTTATTTATGTTCACTCTTTTAAAAGCAGATTATACAAAACTGAGATAGGTCTAGTTGTATTCGTTTTATTAGATGGCCTACAAAACCCGCTTTCAACTAAGAGTGAATTACCTTTTTGCTAAACTCTCTTGCTTCACAGCTAGAAAACAGATACTAGCTTTTAAATCAGATTTGAGAGACTATAGAGTTTCTCCTACTGACGTGGGCAGTCATTTAACATTTGCCCTGGAGTGCTGAGAGGATTCGGCTGGTTCTTTGTCTAAATCAACAGTTTTGGACCCAAATTCTCTGCTGTACTTTCTCAGGCATCTGTGACAGAAAAAAGAAAAAGAAAAAGAAAAAAAATAATGAATTGCAAGTGCATTGCTATTTAGAAAGAACTAAGAATCCTCTCCTTTATGTAAGCTGGGTGTGGTGTCTAGGAAAAAATCCTACAGTTAACAAATCAGTGTCTGAAGCTAATAGTGGAATGTGTTGTTTTTTCCAAGGTTTGTTTTTAATTGAAGTGAAAGGAATTTGCCCTGCCAACCTAGGAGCTGAAAGTATTAGCTTCAACCACAGCATGGAAAGAATGTGACACACTTGAGTTTGCTACATAAAATGGTGGGATTGAGAACTTTTAAGAGAAATTTTATGGAATTGCTAGTATCACACAGAATATTTTTCTTAGTCAAGAAAAGGATTTTAAAACATTTAAATTTACTGCACTCATTATGGTATGGCAAAATTGCTTTGAATGTACGATAACTGTCACATTAACATAATCATTTGTCCTTAATATAACACTGCACTTGTTTAAGCTTCTTTTGATGTTGAACTCAAAGTATTTCATGCTTACTTTATTTAAAGATCTTAATTGTGGAGCTACAACCATACAATCATATTTTCAAAGAGTCAGATTACATTTACTACAGAGTGCTTTCATCTCTATCATTTACAAAAAAATGTTGCAGTCATTCTATTAAAGATTTGTTGGTATTTTCTATTTTCACAAGGAAAACAAAATCAGATTTAAAGCTAGGGTTTGTGAGCTCTGAAACAGTTTGCATCTGGGACTATGTTATGAACACATTTTATTGGTTATTATCTTAACACTCCCATACTTCACACTCACCATAAAGAATGCCTTGACACATTACATGAAAACAAGCAGTACTACACATAGAGGTTTTTCTCCTCGTGGTTTTACATTCTTGGAGATATTTGGTCAGCCTAACCCAAAGCCATTCAGTAGTGTTAGAAAAAAATACATTTTGCCAAAAGATGCTTGGTCTGACCCTTAGGGCCCTGGGGGAAGGCAATGACTTTAATCTGCTTGTTGTCTAACCAGATATTCCTGCCAGCGTTTGTCTTCATCGGGCTGGAACAGGAAGACTGCTGTGGCTGCTGCGGGCATGAAAACTGTGGCAAGAGATGCGCGGTAGGTTGTCGTCCACTCCGGTGGGGAAAGTGGCTCCTAAGGGGCCGTGCGGCACGCCGCGCTCACTTCAGGTGCTCCTCCTTTCCCTAGATGCTGTCTTCTGTGCTGGCTGCTCTCATCGGGATTGCAGGGTCTGGCTACTGCGTCATTGTGGCAGCCCTGGGCTTAGCGGAGGGACCACGGTGTCTCGATCACTCTGGCCGGTGGAACTACACCTTTGCCAGCACCGAGGGGCAGTAAGTACTTGTTCCGTACCAGGCTGCACATTCTTATCCATCACATGTGCTTAGTGGCAAACTGATCGAACTAAATAGTCATCAGCCGTGCAGTCATCCATTCACTCAGCCAGGATTATCAAGTGACTCAGGCACGGTTAGGCAATGATGGTCAGATGGATGCCCAGGCTTTCTAATGGGTTTGCTGATTCGGTTCTCATGATGGCCTGATGGGGCAACTTCCATGGTAGCTCCCATTTTCCTGAGAAGGAAATGGAGACACAGAGAAAAGCAGTGACTCATCCAAAGTCCCATTGCTGGAACATGGCAGCCAGAATTTGAACCCAGTTAGCCTGGCTGTAGAGTCTGTGCTCACACAGTGCATACACTCTACCAGAACAATTGGCTGATTTTACTGTTATGTAAGAGAATATTATGGAATCTTTATATAATATGGATGGAAACTGTATAGTTGACCAAAGCTCAGGGAAACTCCTACTACCCTCATATATGCATCCTCACATATAGCATAACAACGTACGACATGCCCTTTATTGAACATGACCAGGCTACATAAGACAGGTCTTAATACAACTTTAACATTAGGATATTTAAGAGGCTCTGTTGTTTTTTGTTGATACTTATTTCTTATCCATTATTGAGAAAATAAGAGAAATAGCTAATAGAAACTAATGTACATGATGATAAATGAATGACATCCTTCTTTGCATTTTGGAGGGGTTAGTTACTGATACGGAACTAGGGCTGGACATCTGGTTTCTGCCTTCATGGAGTTCAGACTTGTGCAAAAGACACATAAGCCCCTGGTCAAGGTTAGGGGCCCTTCTCCTGGCCCTCTCATGCTTGGTTTACCTGATCAGCACACTTGCTGCATTAAGTTTGTCTAGTGTCTCTTCCCTTTGAGGCTTTGCTTCTCTAGGGCAAAGACCACGTGTGTTCACTGCCATATTCCCAGCCCCCGCTCAATGTCTAACTCGTATTGAGGGCTCAGAAGTCTTCATTAAGTTTTATGTTTGTCACCACAACAAAATCTGGGTTTAATTCCTAATTTCGTGGAATGGCTCTGACTGAAAGAATGTGGCATAGGCCATTGAATTAATTCACTTCTTTTTTTGTGTGGCATTTTTCACTCAAAATGCCACACAAAAAATAGCTTATGAGACATCCCATTAGGTGTGGTCATGTGTTAGGAGTTTGTCTTTTTATCCACAGGTACCTCCTTGATAGATCCACGTGGTCCCAGTGCATTGAACCCAAGCATGTTGTGGAGTGGAATGTCTCTCTGTTTTCTATTCTCTTGGGACTTGGTGGAATTGAATTCATTTTGTGTCTCATTCAAGTAATAAATGGAGTGCTGGGAGGCATATGTGGCTATTGCTGCTCTCGCCAACAGGTAAGGACCTGGGTGAAAATGTTGAAACCCAGTCCTGGGTATTCAGTTGCCATAATGCACAATTGTGTTATCACCACAAAGAAAAAAAAGGCCAAATCAAACACTGCTCACCCTACCAGTACTTATTCCTGCACCATCTTTGCAGCAAAGCATTCACAGCATTCAGTTTTGCTCTCAATCATGAGCTTCCTTGAGTGTCACAGTCACTGAGTTATCTTGTTTTTTCGTGATTGGCTTTGTGTGTACAGGAAAATGCCACTCATAGACAGAGGGTCCCTGCAGGAGCTAGCCCACGGCCCCTTTCATGACCCCTGCCCTGGCTGCAGAGACACAAAAGAAAGCTCCTGTCTTTGCCTGATCTCCTGTTCCCAGGGAGTATACACAAATAATAAGCAACTTTCATTGCTCCAGGCCCTGGACTAAACCCTTCCTTCAGATGAGACTATGACTCAGAGATGAAGCAATATATCTAAGATCACCTAGTCAGAGAGTAACAGGCTTCACCCCCTGGGTCATTTTATGCCACCGCTCTTGCTCTTAACTTGTTCACAACACTTGCTGTCCTGTTGGGCTTTCTCAATTCCTTCCTAATAAGGAGCCTTGAAAATGCATAAACAGCTAGGCACTGAGAGTCACTAGTAGTTGAAGAGCAACTCATGAAAGCCTTTCACTGTGAAAGAAAACCAGGAAGCACTTGTTTCCTGGGGATATGATTTCAGAGAAAAATATGCATTTGTTAGTAGTGAGGAAAGTTCTTATTTCTTTGTCTTTCTAAAAAACGTATTATTGAATTGATGGAAGTCCAGTTTTGGTCCAGTTTTGGTGGGTTTGTTTTATGTCTTATTCTATAAAACAGGATTAGGTAAACAGAAATTCACTGAACTTGTATTTTTCTAACCATTTACTCCTGTGGTTCCTGCTCTCTTAACTTGCTTTTAAAATAAGACAAAACCTAATGGAAACTAAAATCCCACTGCTACCATGAAAAACTCTGCTTTAAATAAATGGAAACTTTGTATACTTTTTGAGGGAAGTTAAAATTAAAATCTAGTTTTCCTTATCAGGCAAGTACAGCAAGATTAATAATTCCCTTGGTCGCTTGCCAGATTTCCAAGAAAACAACAGAGTGGGAAACTTTCAATATGGAGTTGTTGCCAGGCAATATGGTTGGGGAGAGGCAGAGAAAAATCCTCTCGGGATTGCTCTAATGCAACCTATCTTTAGCCTTGAATTTTGTAGGAGACAGAGTTTAAATTAGGTGAGGCCCCACTAGGCTTCAGTGCTTGTGCGTGTTGGGAACAGGCAGAATAAGTCAATCACCGAAATTGCTGTAGTCATTTGGCAGTGACGCTCTTCTCTATGGGGAGGAGCAAATAGTCCCACTGGGTTTCCCATATGAGTTGCAGTAGAGATGGCTTCTTCCTAGAAATGACAGTGCAGATTGGTTACCTTTGTTTATAAAATAAAAGACACTTTCAAAGGGCAAGGTTTTTGACATAGATGAGTTGAGTCTGTAACTCAGAAGCATCTCATTGAAAAAGATACCCACATTTAGCCTCCGCGGTGTGAAATTTCCACAGCATTCTCTTAAAGCCCTAAGATTAAAAATCTACCTCAAACATATTCAAAGCCAACCAAGTATTGGTGAGTTAGTTTCTATGGCCCCTTCCTGCAGCTTTTACTCAGAGAGGACAACAGGTCTAGTTTGTTTAGGAAACATGTCATGAGCATTGCCTAAGCTTTCAGTGTTGTTGGCCCAAACTCTGCTCAAGTTGAGATGAGTCTGCTTTGTTTGCTTAAAACAGGAATTAAAGGACTGAAATGTCATCACTGTTTTTGAGCCTTTTGGACCTAATGAATATTTCATTTTCTTCACAGCGATATGACTGCTAAGAGATCCACCCCAAGACCGAACCACAGTCTTCCTTTATTTCATTGTAATTTATATATTTTACTTGTATTAATTTGTAAAACTTTGTACTAGTGTATCATAGTCCACATATTCTACTTTTATAAGTGTGCATAAAGACTGGCATCTTCATGTGATGTCAGTGTTGGAACTTAGCAAAAAAACTGAGTGACGGGTCCTCAGCATATCTGAGATAAACTCTGGCCTAAAGTAATGTTTTTGAGAAACATTACAAGGGTAAATATCACATTCCAACTACTATTGTATATATATATGTGCATGCATTTATTAAATGAAAGATTTCTAGTTGCTTTTTTTTAAGACCATGAAGGAGAAAATCCAACAACATGAAAAGATGTGTTTTTTTCACTGTTTATATGGTGTTTCCCATTCATATGCCTGCAAATCACTAAGAGGCCTTTTTGAATTATTTGTGTTCTGTGAGAGACAGGGACTTGGTGGGAGAAGGAGACTGACAGAATGCATATACCCAGCCAAATGAATGCATCAAAACATGCAGTGTGGCTAGATGCTGGGAGTTCTACCAGATCCTGAATTTTCCTAACACGTGGAAGGTTTTTTTGTCCTTCAAAGACAAGCACTAAGGATCATGTATTTAAAAAGAGAAGGGATGGTTCATGGACAAGAAGAAAGGTGGGAAACGGAATAAAGCAGTTGATCAGCATCATGGGAAAATGGGGAGGGGAAGAAGGAGCCAAAGGACCCTGAGGAAATACCCCCAAAACTTGCTTGTTTACATACAACAAAATAAAGGATTCAATACTATTTTTTTCTTTGTTTGGTTTCATTGTCTTTTGTTTAAAGTTGCTCCTTTTTTCTCCCCATTTTATTTTCCAGCTTGCAGGTTGTGCCATGCCCATGGCCGGGGCTTTGTGTCTTCTGGTTTCTTTATCCCACTTTCTCTAGCTCATCCTGTCCCTCCTTTTCTACCTTCACCCACTATTTACGCACTGTAGCTGCTCTGCCACCCCTTGGGGCCAGCACCCAGGTAGCTAACTTTCTGCTGGGCGCTCCAGGCCTCAGGCTCCTGGAGAAGGCACAGACATTTTCTCTCTTGACATTTTATATCTGTGGTACAGAGTTAAGCCCTTTCAAGCTACAGGGCTCCTCATCTATTGGGAAGTGTCTTCCAAAATTTTCTGCTTTGGGTGCTTATTGGCCTGGGCAACAGACAAATGAGTTAATAAAACTTCACTGGCTGTTAGACAGCAACATAAAATAGTTGCTAAAGTAAATCAATATATGGGAATATTTCATCAACATACTTTTGAAAATTATACTGTAGTTGTCCTCATAGCAACTCCATTGCACCATCTGTAGATGGGAAGATCGATTATGTGTGATCTAGCAGCAGTCTGGTGAGTGGGCCTAAGGATTACTGTACTTTTGAAATTTGATTCTGATTGAAATGATATCTTGAGGTATATGCAACAGTTTTAATGTGATATGAAAATAATATGTGATTTTGTGTTGTTGAGCAAAGCATGATCTGTTTTGCTGATACTATTATAATTTGTTGCATGCAGGAAGGAAATCTTAAATTTGTTTTAGAGGTTAATAAAAATAGTGACATTTTTCCCATTCAAGTTTAACACCCCCTCCCAGATATCTATATGGCCCTTGGGAGATCTTGGACAAGTTAAGAACCCCTGTAATAGAGGATCCAAAAAAGTGACATCATGATCAGCTATAAGCACATTTTCTCCCTAAATGTGTCCTCAGAGGAAATGTCGATAATAATTATTAACAATGATAGTAATAACAGCAACTATTTATTACTTTTCTTAAATGTGTCAGTTACTGTACTTAGTTTCTATACCTAGTATTTCACTGAAATCTCTTAGTAGCCCTAGTAGATGGTGCTTGTCTCCATTCTACGGAGTCAAAGCTCCGAGAGGTTAAGAAATCCGCCCAAGGCCATATCCTCAGCATGTGAAACAAGTATGATTCAAATCCAGGTCAGTCTAACACGAAGGCATGTGCTGTTCCAGCTGCTCTCCTCGGCCCCCACCTCCTCTGCTGCCCTTGTCCAGGTGCTGGAGTCTTGCCTCCTCTTTTTCACCCACCTACTGGGGGCTTTGGAAGGCCCCTAGGACCCTGAGTCATCCCAGTTCCAGAGCCCAAGCCTGAGTAACTCAAAGTTTCCCCTAGTTGGTAAATTCTTTAGGAGTAGATACAGCCATTGTCCAGAGGAAATGGCTTACACAAGTTACCGTCTATTTTAGTTGATTGTATTTATAGCTCATACTCTGGGTCTATATTATCCTAAACCCCTCAATTTGGCCAGAAATTCCCTTAGGGATTATACCAGAACAGCTCATTATCACCTGGCAACCTAAAAACATTAAAAATTACTGTAGAATCTGTATCACTTGAATAGGCCACATGGCCTCAGTGTTAGATAAGGTGAATGCCTCTGAGTAGCAATTTACCATAGTTACCAAACCCACAAATAATTATCCAAATAAAGGAAGTCTCTTGAATTGATATCTAAGGAACTGATGCAATGCTACCTGCACTACAGTTTGTTTCTTGTGTGTGTGTCAGGTCTCTTTAAATACATGGCCCCTGAGGCTTACCCATGGTGGGAACAGGTGTGGGATTCAGCGCAGCTTTTCAGAAAAGCCACAATCTATCAAGTCTGCACATCCTTTGTAAACCACTATTTTACTTTTAGAAACTTATTTTAAGAGTATCATCAAGGATGTTCAGTTGGATAATTTTGGGAGTATTGTTTATACAAAGAAAAATGACAAAAACCTAAATGTCCAACAAGGAACTGGGCTGATAAAATGTTGTTGACACAATAAAATCACATATTTATAAGTAATGTATAACATATGTATATATATATACACTAAAAAGTAATATTGATAAGATTCTGGGTGATTTTGTCTTGATTCATTTTGCTTGCCTATAATTACTGAAGTTTCTACAATAAATTCATACTACTTTTGGAAAGAAAACAAAAATGGGCAAAGAAAGATTCAATCCTAAAATCAATCAGGGAGTGGTCCACAGTCTTTAATGGAAACTCCCCAAATATATGAGAAAACCATTGTTCTTGTGGGTGAACAAAGGAGTCATTCTAAGTAAACACTGGAGAATAATTTCCCTGCATTTAGGCGGAGAGATGGACCAGGTGAGGCTGGCAATAACCACAGGCTAAAATAAGGGGTGGCCACAATTCCCATTCTGCGTTTGGGAAACGTAAATACACGATATCTACTTAGTCTAGCTACTAAATAAGATTTCCATAAATATCAACTACATACCTGCTTTTCCATTTTAAAAATGAAAGTAATGAAACTTTTACTTTATGCATTGGACTTTTGTCAGGGCTTTTTGTAGTAGAGCCTGAATTTCCTAACTTTTCTTTTCTGAGGGTTAACAATAGCATGGGTTTATAGAATTTGGCTCAGCCTAGTTTATGGAAATGATCCAATGCATCTTAACAAGCAGAGAAATTGAGTCACCCACCCCAGGCTAGTACAAATTGTTCCTCCTCTTTTAACGTGAAATATTTTTGTGTGTGTACGTTATGATCAGTTTAGATATTTACTTTAATTACTGTAGTTAAAAAAAAGCCTGTTCAGCCTTTCTGGAGCTCGATTTCATGTTAATTCCTGGAATCGACCAATCAGTCAAGTCTTTCTCTCTCTCTCACACACACATGCACACTCACACAAACACACACACACAGACCACATATACACATATTTTCCCATTGTACAGCAATTAAAAAGAACAAACTCCTGCTGCTTGAGACAACATGGGAACCTCTCACAAACACTGAGACAGAAATCATCTACCCTGTCTCTTCCCCCAATATTGATGACACAATCCTGGACATAATCTTAACTAACGTAGCTAAATCAAGAGAAAGGGGTGGTGAGTCCCTTTATGCAACATTTCCCACACTAGGTTTTTATTGCAGCATGATCGTTCTCCAAGAGGAGCTGTTTCAAGATGTCTATGTTCACAAGTTGCATCCTGCAAGTGGAAGACTCTGTGTCAAGCATTCCACTTGCTAATTCTCACCACACCCTACTCTGTTCCATGTGTATAAATACCACTGATTTGGGTGCAGGGCTCAGGGCCAATTGCAATGGCCGCTAGGATCTCAGAGGTAGACACTGCCTAGAAAGGTTGAAAAGCTAAACCAAGGTATCCAGGTTGGGATCCCAGTACCTAACTCTGTGTTGGTTAAGACCACCCCCTCACTAAAGCTCTGGTGATTATCTCTGACACCTATTAAATGTTTAACCTTTTAACATTTTTTAATCATTTTTTAATCACATTTCACATTCAGAAAAATGCACACAAAAATGTATAACCCAATGGATTTTTCATGTGTTTATATCCATGTAACCACCATTTACATCAAGATATAGGACATTTCTAGCACCCAGAAAGCTCTTTCATGTCCTCTCCCAGGCAATGTGCACCCCACCACCACTGTAAACACCCTGGGGAACCACGGTTCTGATTTCTGTCACCATAGATTAGTTGAGCCTGTTCTTGAGCTTTATATAATTGATTCATAATGCATGTTCTCTTTTGTGTCTGTTTTTTCTCACTACATATTATGTTGCTGAATTCTGGCTGCCAAAACATCATCAGAACCATCTGTTCACAAGACAAAGCTGTGTATTGCTCACCGCCATCAGGGACAACACCACCTTGAAAGAGCTTTGGTTGTGCGTCGGAGGGGGAAGGAAAAAGCTAAATTTGACATTTTGATTCTGGTGTAAGATGAGGTATTGATGTGAAGGCTGGAATAGGAGTGGCAAGGATTATGGTATGGTTTAGGATTGGTGGGATCAGCACGACAGTGATTTTGAGGTGAGAGATTCAAAGACTCTTGAGATGTAAACTGTTGATGTTTTCTATTGAAGAGATGATGGGTCTTTCAGGAAGTTCCTATAATGAACAATAAAGTTATTTGGCTGAGCAAAAGTATCTTGCAATAGTAAAACTATGCTAAGACTATGGAATAATAAAATCCTGATATCACTGACAATAAGCTATGGAGCAGATAATGGTTTCAGTTCTGTATCCAAGCTGGGAATGAGGAATAGGTGGTTTGAGTCCACAGTAATTTTGAGATTCACCCATGCTGTCTTTTCCTTTGCTGTGCAGTATTCCATGGTTTGAATATCCTACAGTTTATTTACCCATTACCTATTTATTAATGGGTATTTGGGTTATTTTCAGTTTTTGCCTCTTAGGAAACATGTTGCTATGATCATTCTTAGACATGTTTTTTGCTGCATGTAAGAGCTCATGGGTATTGGTTTTCTGTTTTTTTTCTTGTTAAGGAATCAAACTGCCAATGGAGAGTCTTTTGTTGTGTGTTAATTAGCATCTCATGGGGCTCAAAGTTTCCCCCGGCCCAGCACTCCCAAGGTTTGGGCTCATCTTCTCTGTCTGAGGGACTGCCAGTCACTCACAGTTCAGTATTTCTGGATTCCCATTGTGTGCACTGAACTGCACAAGATGCTGAGGTCACAGCTGTGAACAAGGTTTTCTACGCTCCATGAGGCAGAGTCCTTGACTATGTTGCTCACTATGGTATCCTCAGCTCTAGAACACTGCCCAGCAGGCAGTAGGTGCTCAATGATCAGGGATCAGCAAACTATGACCCATTGGCCAATTGAGTCTTTTGCCTGTTTCAGTAAATAAAGTTTTATGGGAACACAGGCACGTCCATTTGTTTACATACTGCTGATGGTGCTTTCCTGCTATGACGGCAGAACTGGGTA